TGCCAGGTAATAAGCTAGGTGCTGGGGATACAGAAGAGCCTGTCCACTTCCCAAAACCCACACCCTTGTGAAGGCCAACGTCAGACCTTGTTGGTGCCACAATTCATTCTCCTGAACCCTCCATCGTCCCTCTCCAAGCCAGCCTCCATGCAGCAGAATTTAAAACATAAATCTGATCATCTCACTTCCCTACTTTAAGCTTCTAGAGGCTCCAGTTATTCTTAGGATAAAGACCAAAATTCTTACATTCTAGACCTGGCTTGCTTATCTCTCTGACCTCTGTTTTCCAGCCTTGTCCTCCCTCACTGTTTGCCATGTGGTCACCCTGGCCTTCCTGGAGCTTCTCAGACCTCTAGGTCTACCGCAGTCCCTGGCCTGGGAAGCTGTCCCATCTCACCACTGACACTGAAATGGAGTGTGAGGTGCAAGATGGATATTAGGGATCAATTCCTGCAAGAGGAAGTGGGAGGAAGCAGGATTGGCCAGAGATAGATGAACTGTGGTGCAGGCCTGACAAAGCCTCAGCCAATCTGCTGGGGAAGCCCTGGAGCAATGGAAATGGTCGGATTCTCATACCTCGCCTTGCTCGGTCACTGAATCTATGCTTCTCCAGCACAGTTAGACTGCTAGCTCAGGGAAAGCACATCTCCATGTCTGCCAGTACTGCTGTCCCTTATGCTTCCAGGCTGGGGTGTGCGAGTATATGTGTGTGTGCAGCTCACCAGCCACTTCATCTGGGAAACCTTTCCTCAGACCTCCGAGCTCTCATACAACCCCATCCTTCTTCTCCTCAGCAGTTATCACAGTTTGTAATCACATGTTTGTGTGTGATTATCTGATTGATATCTGCCTTCCCTAGGAAACTATACATTCTATGCAGGCGGGGACAGTCTATTTGACTCGTAGTCCCAGAACTTAACCCAGTGTCTGGCACATGATAGCTGCCCAGTAAAAACTTGTTGAATTAAGGAATGAAGATGGGTACCATGTCTTGCAAACATAGGACTCTCTTAACTGTGTAGGTAAACAAGAGCTTGCTATGTATTTAAAGCTCTCCTCCAGCTTACAAAGAGGACATTCATGATCATTTCAATCAGGTTTTATCTTTAATATTTAGAAGCCTGCTCCTACCCCACTCCCACCTGGAATAGAGAGCCAAAATGAAAGCAAAGTTCATTCTGTTACCACCATGATTATAACTACCATCCCAAAACTCTTTTAAGGGTTCAGTGCATTGCAATGGACAGCTCAAATTTCCAAACCCAGAGAGCTACACAAGACTGGTCCCTGCATGTGTGGGCTGCATGTGTGATTACTGGGTTAGTAATCACAATTCCTGCTTCTCCACTCAGCTGTGCCACCTGAACAAGTCACTTAACCTTTCTGAGCCTCATCTATAAAGTAGGGATAATACTGCTTGCCCTTTGGGACAGGAAAGTACTTTGCAAATTGTAAGGTGTGGTTCACAAGAAAGCAAAGGAGTTTTCTTCTTATATAATATCAGAAAGACAGGTTGGAAGAGGACGTATTAGAGACACTAACAACTTGTTTTTTACAATGATGACATGGGAGCTCATGTGAGCTGATGTTGTTTTTCCCCATTGTTCAAATGGGTTTGTGCTCACCTCTGTAAGCCCTCTCTCCCAGCTCGCCTGTCCCTACTGATCAGGGGTGGAGATAACAGGAAGAATCAATCCCTGGATGGACAGTTAGCGACTACATTTACATTACATGCAGGTCAAGGTTGAGCGTGTTTTGGAGGTGGAGAGAGGTGTTTGTGTTTCTCCCTACCGGGCAAAGAAGGTGATAACATGACATTGTTGACCTAAGCTCACTGTGGGAGAATCTTTCACCTGGAGATTGAATACCTGGCCATCGAGACAGAGGCTGGGAAGGAGATAGTGTAGATACAGGTGCTGGGAGTGAAGCCAGTAGATGAGAAGTCCAGTAACTTTAGGAAGCCCTCAGTGGGCCAAGCCAGTTTGCTAACAAAGGAATACCCAGAGATATCTTTGGTTTCTGTTGTTCCCACCCCCTTGCCCCTTTTACTGGTAATCAAGTTATTTAATTGATGTATGTGGCATTCTCTTGAGAAGGATGAAGAGTGACTCCCAGCATTAGGTGCCAAGCTTTGGCTTTTACAAAGTTACCTCATTGAACTTTCTCCACACCCCACGAGGCAGTGGAGAAAGTTCAATGAGGCAGGTATTGTTACCCTCATTTTACACATGGGGAAACTAGATTTACAAAGGCCAAGTAATGTACATGCTCAAAGTCAGATAAGCAGTGACTGACTGTATGCAATTACTAGGGATACTTTAAAAAGTTCGTGGAAAAAATAGAATTGAAAGATAATATGAATCTTTTCAGGAACTTTTTGAAGTACCCTCGTATATTCAAACCCAGATTTCCTGCAACCTTCTCCCCCACACTGCTGTTTTTATTAAGTGCCTCCTGCCCTCAACTTTACACATCTGTGAGTGTGCGTGTCTGTCGGGTGTCGGAGCTCTGGGCTATTCCTGCTTGAATATACCTAGTCTCACAGAATTTCCACGACAGGAAGAGACCTTAAAGGCTGGTATGGTCTGAATGTTTGTCCCCTCCAAAGCTCATGTGGGAGCTTGATCCCCAACCTGGCAGTGTTGAAAGGTGTGGCCTCAGGAGGTGATTGGACCGTGAGGGCTCTGCCCTCGAGAATGAATTAGTCCATTAATGAGTTAACGGGTTATTATGGGCGTGGAGTGGTGGCTTTATAACGGGAACACATGGACGTGCTCTTGCTCGGACACTTAAACTGCCAAGCGGCGGAGAAGACTGTCCCTAACCGGACCCACCCCTGCTCTGCCGCGGCAAAGAGCCCGCCCATCTCTGGGCAGAACTGGACGACCACTCCCACCTCCTGGCCGGCCCCCATCCGGCCCGGCGCGGGGCATTGAGGGATTTGTAGTTCTTCCAGCTCGCCGCAGCTGCTCTGAAGCAGCCAGGAGAACTACAAGGCCCAGGAGCCAGCACGCGGGCTTGAGGCGGACTCGCCGGCGGTGGGTGTGCGAGCGCAGGGGGCCGGGATGCGGTCGCGGGCGCCGGAGCCCATTAGCGGCTGTAGTCGCGCTCGTTAACCCGGGGGGGTTGGGGGCGGCCAGGCGGCGACAGGTACGTTGCATGCATGCATCGGGCGCAGCCTTTGCCAAGCCCAGTTGTGCAGTGCTTTGGCGCGGCAGTGGCGCGGTGGGAGGGTCCCAGTCGTCGGGGGATGGGCATCCAGTTCAGGGGCCAGGCTGGCAGCCCTCGCTGAAAGATCTCTTGACTGGGCTTGTGGGGGGAGACGGGTGCCCGCCTGAGGCTATGCATGACGTGTTTATTCTCTTTCTTTCCTTGTGCTCAGGTTTCCCTCGGCAGGCGCGCGATGCAGCGGGCGGCGGCGCTGGTCCGGCTGGGCTGCTGCCCCCAGGCTCGGGTCTCCCGGGGCCGTAGTCAGAGCAGCGCAGCCGGCGCGAGCGCATCCTCACGCTGGAGTCCATGAACCCGCAAGTGAAGGCAGTAGAGTACGCGGTGCGGGGACCCATCGTGCTCAAGGCCGGCGAGCTCGAGCTCGAGCTGCAGCGGGTGAGCGCGGGCGCCCGTGCCCGCAGGGCGGAGGGTCCGGGGACTAGGGGGCGCTGATGGAGGGAGAAACGGCAGCAGTCTCCTGCTGGAGTCCTCCCGTCCGACTGCCTCTCAACCCCCTGGCTAGCTTCTTCATTCAGCCAAGCCTGGCTAAAACAAGAGATTGTCCTCCTCCCATCTTTTCACCCAGTAGAGCCAGCCCAGCACCTGGCACAAAGTAAGGCCTTTAAATACGGTTCACTTGTTGAATTGAATTCATCAGTTATTAAGGGGCCCATGGTGCCAGGCTCTGCACGTTATGTGTTTGTTCTACCCTCATGGAACCAAGATCCTTTGGAGGGAGGAAAACAGCAAGCGAACAAACAAGAGAGTTTCAGATAGTGAATAAATACTTTAAAGAAAGTAAAACGGGGGAAGGGTGAGAGGGGTGTGGTGGGAGGGAAACCAGCTATGTGGTGGGGGGAAGGGAAGTTCTGAGGAGAGTTCAGTTTGTTCCCCAAACTTTGTCTCTCTATGCCTTTTGGGTCTTTGCCAGTCATGATTCCTTGACAAGAGTTGGGGTGTGGAGGAGGGTTGGGCAGAATTTCTTCCTTTAGGCCCCTCCAGAACCTTGGCTGACTAGCCACATCTTCTCTGTCTGAGGACAGTCACCTGGATGGGCAGTGTGAGGGTGGGGCCTTGTGGGTTTTGATAAGGTGGCCCTGGGACTTCCTTCATCTTGGTGGCTGGCTGGCTGAGATCTTGGCTTGAGCTCATAGCTGCAAGTAAAGTGACCCACATCCAGGATGGGTTTAAGAGATGCCCCTGTAGGATAGCAAGTTCTAACCTGGGTGAAATTTGGAAGGTGAAGTGAAGAGGAGTTATCTAAAAAAGTAAATACTGGGCCGGCTGGTTAGCTCACTCAGAGCGTGGTGCTGATAACAACAGGGTCAAGGGTTCAGATCCCCTAACCAGCCTATCACACACACACACACACAAAAGTAAACACTTATCGAAGATTTGTAAGAAGCTGATGAAATAGTCACCCAGCTGCTTGTTCAAGATGACTCCCGGGATGGTGGTGGTGGGGCAGGGGGGTTTCCTTGATCTCGCTTTCAAATGTACCACATCCTGATGTCTTAGGGGTGATTTGGTCGTTTTGTGTCCCTTGAATGCATGGGAGGAAGCATCGAGGACCATGACACTTGGCCCCCATTCCCATGGTGACTTTGAGGATTTGATGAGCTCATGGCCTGCTGGCATTCAGCTTGGGACACCCCGTCCTGCTGACTAAAAACAGTAAGCTGGACAAGTCAGAGTCCAGTGCCTCCTGCTGATTCCTTGCAGGGCTAAGTTTAAAGCTTGGCTGGGAGAAGGTTGGCTCCTTGTCTCTGCCTGCCTTGCCCAAGGTCGGATCCTATATAGGGATGGCCGGTGCGCTCACTGGCTGAGTGCGGTGCAGACGACACCACACCAAGAGTTACCATTCCCTTACCAGTCACAAAAAAGAAAAAAACAAACCAAAACCTCAACACTCCAGCCTCACCCCACAGGAGAGGGAGGGAAGGGGCACAGACATCAGTACTGTGTGTGTGTGGTTGTGTGTGGTTGTGTGTGTGTGTGGTGTGTGTGTGTGTGTGTGTGTGGTTGTGTGTGTGTGCGGGGGAGGGTTGCTGGCTGGCGTGAAGATCCAAACCCATGACCTGGTGGTTATAAGGCTGTGCTCTAACACACTGAGCAAACCGGCCAGCCCGGTCAGTTTTTTAAAGCCCCTCAAGTGATAGTGACGTGCAGCCAAGGTTGAAACCGTGCTCTAATCTAGGGCCTCACAACAGAACCCGGGAAGTAGGCTTCCAGCTCTCTTCATTTATCAATTTTAGTCAATGTTAATTCAATCCTTCTATGAATGGTGAGAATTTAGGTTATTAACACTCCCCCCTACACATGTAATATATATCCTCTCAAGATGTAAAAATTTTATTATTGTCTTTTAGATTATCCTATTTGGTTACATTTAAAAGATACTTAAGTCCCAAGTTTGACAGCGTCAGCCCCTGACCTCGTCCAGCTGGGACAGGAGTGTGAACGTCCTGACCCTTTATGCCTCCTTTTCTTCCCTGCTACATCGAGCCCTTCTTCTTTCACCCTGTCAAGCCTGATAAATCATTTACATTCTGCTCTGCAGCTACAGGCAAGGCTGCTGTGCTTTGTTCACAGGTTTTCTTTAAAAGGTGAAAACTAATAAACAGCATTTACATTATTGTGACCATGAAAAGTATTACTCAATCTCTGGCCGAGGAGAGGGCTGGGACCTCATCTCCTTCTCTCTGTGGCAGCCCCTCCAGGAGACTCTTCTAGATTCAAAGTCAAATAGATCCTCTCTTCTCACACCTCATCATTTGCCTAAAATCATGCCTCATTTGACATTGCTTCCCAGTTAGGACATGAATTTCTTCTTCTTTTTTATTATTTTAACATTTACTTGTACATATTTGTGGGGTACAGTGTGTTGTTTCAGTACATTCATGTACTGCACAGTGATTCACTTAAGGTAGATAGCATAGTTTTCTACCCATTAGTCCACCACTTCTCCCCTCCCAGACTCTCTGGTAACCATTATTCTACTCTCTACTTCTATAAGAACCACTTTTTTTTTTTTAGATTTCACATATGAGTGATATTATGCAGTATTTGTTTTTCTGTGCATGACTTACTTTACTCAACATGATGGTTTCCAGTTCCATACATGCTGCTGCAAATGGATCATTTTTTATAGCTGCATAATATTCCACTTTGTATATATAACACAGTTTTTTATCCACTCATTCATTAAATGAGCATTTAGATTTATTCCATTTCTTGGCTATTGTGAATAGTGCTGTGATGAACATGGGAGTGCAGGCAACTTTTTGATATATTGATTTCATTTCCTTTGGGTATATACCCAGTAGTGGGATAGCTGGATCATAAGGTAGATCTGTTTTTAGTTCTTTCAGGAGCCTCCAAACTGTTTTCCACAGTGGTTGCACCAATTCACATTCCCACCAACAATATAGGATGGGTCCCTTTTCTCTGCATCCTTGCCAGCATTTGTTATTTTCTGTCTTGTTGATAATAGCCATTCTAACTGGAATGAGATGATATCTCATTGTGGCTTTAATTTGCATTTCCCTGATGATTAGTGATGTTGAGAATTTTTTCATGTGCCTGTTGGCTATTTGTATGTCTTTTTTTTGAAAAATATCTGTTCAGGTCCTTTGCCCATTTTTTAATTGGTTTATTTGTTTTTCTTGCTGTTGAGTTGTTTGAGTTCCTTATATATACTGAATATTAGCCCCTTGTCTGATGTGTGGTTGGCAAACACTTCCTCCGATTGTTTCATGAGAAACTAACACCTTTCTTTTGTTGTACCATTGCCTTTAACATGCCTTCAGTTATTTTTCAAAGTCTCATTACACCATCTATCCTCATGAGTCCCCGTGTTTTCCTACAGACCTCTATCCTGGAGCTCCATTCTCCTCCTCCAATCTCTGTGAGTCACTTCTTAGGTTACACACATAGCAGGCATCGTCAACACTCTCTGCTGCTCCCTTATGCAGAATCCTCTGTTTCTTGGATCACACACTTTTCTATTCTTGGATTATCTTTATGATAGGGTCCATTTTCAAACAATTTCCCAGGAAAGCTTGCTTGGGAAGTAACATTTTTTTCAGCGCTTACATTTTAAAAGTGTCTTTATTCTACTCTTAGATTTGGTTGATTATGTAGATGAGCATAGAACTCTGGACTAAAATTATATTCCTTCCAGACATTGAAAACATCACTCTGTTATTTTCCTGTGTCCGAGTTGCTAATTGAAAATCTGATGGAATGCATGCTTGATCCACATTCTTTCTAGGTAACGTGTTTTTGTCCTTCTGGAAGCATTTCTCTTTGTGATATTATGTCTAGATGTAGGCCTTTTTCTTTGGATTATGCTGTGCACTCTAAGAGCTCATTTAATCTAAAAGTTCATGTCCTTCAGCTCTGGAAATTCTCATCTCTTGTTTCATGGTAATTCTTTCTTTTCATTTATTGTATCTCTAGGACTTGCATTAGTTGGACGTTAGACCTCTTGATCTGGTCTTCTTTAGCTCTCCTCATAACTTCTCTTTGACTCTTAGCTTTATAATCAGAAAGCTTTTCTTTTTTTTGCTTTCTAGTTACAGCATTTAAAAAATGTCGGTTGCACTTTTAACATTTGTGAGCTCATTCGTATGTTCTCGTTATTTCCCTTTTCATAATGGAGAAAAGATCTCTTCAGCGTCTCTGACATGGTGATGAGGACGATGAGGACTATGAAGACAATTCTCTTCTGTTTTCTTTTTTTTCCTTTTTGTCTTTTTTACTGACCGGTAAAGGGATCGCAACCCTCGGTGTCGCGCCTGTACCGGGGACCGGTAATGGGATCGCAACCCTCGGTGTCGCGCCTGTACCGGGGACCTCACTCTGTTATTTTCCTGTGTCCGAGTTGCTAATTGAAAATCTGATGGAATGCATGCTTGATCCACATTCTTTCTAGGTAACTTGTTTTTGTCTTTCTGGAAGCATTTCTCTTTGTGATATTATGTCTAGATGTAGGCCTTTTTCTTTGGATTATGCTGTGCACTCTAAGAGCTCATTTAATCTAAAAGTTCATGTCCTTCAGCTCTGGAAATTCTCATCTCTTGTTTCATGGTAATTCTTTCTTTTCATTTATTGTATCTCTAGGTCTTGCATTAGTTGGATGTTAGACCTCTTGATCTGGTCCTCTTCAGCTCTCCTCATAACTTCTCTTTGACTCTTTGCTTTATAATCAGAAAGCGTTTCTTATTTTTGCTTTCTAGTTACAGCATTTAAAAAATGTCGGTTGCACTTTTAACATTTGTGAGCTCATTCGTATGTTCTCGTTATTTCCCTTTTCATAATGGAGAAAAGATCTCTTCAGCGTCTCTGACATGGTGATGAGGACGATGAGGACTATGAAGACAATTCTCTTCTGT